AATAATTTTAATATCACATGTTTGAAACCGCCAATAGAGGGTGGTTAAAAATCAAAAATGATTGCCACGGTCAGACCTACACGGGTGTCGCCAAAACAAACGGCCTCTCGGTGGAAACGGGGACTGGTAATGACGTAATTACCTCGGTCACGTGCTGAAATCTTGGATATGCGCAGAACGGTCCCTGCTCGGGCGCCAAATTTGGCCCGAAGGACAAGGCATAACAAAATTTAAATGTCTTATCAAAGACAAAAAGTTTCTTCTATAATAGATCAGCGCTGGCTGAAGCGGTAGTACTAAGGTACATGAAGCCATGGCATTACTTTGTTTTTCACAGAAATATTTCAAAGTATCATATATGAAGGTTACAGAATCTTTTTTTTCAGAAAAATAAGGTATTGCTATGGTTCTGTGGCACCATGGCACTACCTCACCAGACGCTGCTTTAACAGATACTGCAAACTATAGGGATCGTTGGTTTTGACATTCGCCATCGCAGTTAGTACAAGGTAGACCTGCTTTCTGATACGAACATCTGTTGGTTTCACTTTGACTTTCACATCCGCACTTCTCTAGTCTTTTAGAGCTCACCAAATTTCTGCTAGCTGGCTCCCAGCGGCTGTTGGTTGAATTCCAACCCCATCCTCCAGGAGATAGAATAGGTTCACCGGGTGACAGCGATCGACCCCGACCCCATATTTGACCGGCTCGATACGCAGCTCTTCTGTAGTCTTCCATCAAACTGTCTTGTGACGGTGAACACATGGCTATTGGTCGTTCTCCACTACGAAACTACACCTTTCTCAATATACTGGTATCAGTGCCGGCCGGAGGCTACTTTTAGGATGGAGCAAAATCTGACTTTGGCGCCCCTAGTTCTAATGTGATTCGCATGCGCGAAAATGGATTTTGACCATATCTAATATAATATGTCTCTGTTTATCTTCTTATCAATTGAAATTCGAATACATTTCTGTTGATACCTAGTCTTTTCCTTTTAAGTGTTGATTTGAAGTAGAATGACAAACGAATAATTAGAGTTTCTCCGTTTATTTATTCATCATAATATTCACTTTTCAAAAAGATCAGTAATTACCATTCTAGAAATTATAGATGGAAAGTTCTCTTATTTACTAATATTCAGCTTACATGCTTTGATGGGATCAATGAATAATCAACTTTGATGATATTATAACACTAATGAAAATAAATATAAAAATTGAACAAAGAAAATACGAAATATTAGGTAAACTGCTATTTGCATACTTTTGCATTAGCAAATTTGTTCAATCTCCTCATGTCTGGACTACAACATTTTCAATGGACAGCATGGCTAGATCTGAAGGTATGCTAACGTCTGAAGGACTGCTTTCGGATGACCGTTATCACTATCCAAGAACTTTTTCATGCACAATATTTCTCTTGAAAGTTCTAATCTCAAAATATCGTGATTATATAATCGGGTAAAGGCGCCGCCAAGCCCACGACCCGTGCGCGTCTCCAAAAAACGTAAGGACTGTTTATTCACATGGGATTCACATACTAACCACAAGCTTGCTCGCAAGCAGAACAGCAAAGTATCGAAAAGCGGAGACAGAATTCGAAGCAAAAATATATTTTTCCCTATTTTTTATTACCAAGGAACCAGTCGAAGGCGCCCCCCGAGGTCTGGCGCCTGGAGCGCTCGCTCCGTTCGCCTTATGGTAGGGCCGGCCCTGACTGGTATAGTGAATTTCTCTGAAATTTTGAATATTTTTTGTGCTATATCTGTGCTACTATCCACAGGCAGAGTTGGGTTGCCTCTGGATAATCTTTCCATGTGCTTTTCATTCTCTGTTTTTTCTTTTGAATGCAAAAAAGGAAGTAGTTTCGCACCCCCGAAAAGCATAAAAGCCACGCAATGCTAAAGATTTTTCAGGTCCCAATAAATAATTTGTAATGTTATGAGCTGCAATATATCTTTGTGATTTGTTAACCCCATATACAAGCTACCATAATTCCTCAAGGGTCAAGGACTTAACATGTAGAAACATTCTTCCATCTGCTTCCTCCATATCGGTACAAGATAGTCCATCCAGACTGGTTTTGACATTATGTTAAACATTTGGTCCAAAATGGAGCTAAATCCGTTTCAGTACGATTCTCGGACACAGCTGCAATAATAGGAATATATTTTTTTTATATATTGAACTCCTCAGGCATTGAGGAATTATGGTATCTATATGGGGTTAGCAAATCACAAAGATATATTGCAGCTCATAACGTTGCAAATCATTTGAGAAAAATCGTAAGCACTGCGTCGCTTTTACGGGATGCGACATTACTTCCTTTTTTGCATTGAAAGGAAAAAACAGCATGGAAAGCATGGGAAGATTATCTGAAGGCAACCCTGGCTTTCCATTGTTTATCTTTAATATATAGTACCACAGATATACACCAAAATATATTCAAAATTTTGAAGGAATTTATTATTACACTATATGATGCAAAAAGCAAACTTGAAAAAGTTAATGAATTGAGAAAGGTGCAGTTTTGTAGGACAGAACGACCATTAATCTGAAGGATGGGGTTGGAATTTACCAAAGAACCGCTGGGAGCCAGCTATCACAAATTTGGTGAGCTTTAAGAGGATTAGAGAAGTGTGGCTGTAAAGGTCAATGTGAAACTAACCTAACAGATGTTCGTATAGGAAAGCTATAGTACGGCCGCATATACTAACTGCAAGGGCGAATGTCAAAACCCGAAAAGTGGAGAACGACCAATATCCATGTGTCCACCGTCACAATACAGTCTAATGGAAGACTACAGAAGAGCTGCGTATCAAGCCGGTCAAATATGGGGTCGATCGCTGTCACCCAGTGAATCTGTTCCACCACCTGGAGGATGGGGTTTGAATTTAACCAACAACAGCTGGGAGCCAGCTAGCACAAATTTGGTGAGCTCTTAGAGTACTAGAGAAGTGTGGATGTAAAAGTCAAAGTGAGACCAACAGATGTTCGTGTCAGAAAGCAGGTCTACCTTGTACACCCGCATGTACTAACTGCAATGGCGAATGTCAAAACCAACGATCCCTATAGTTTGCAGTATCTGTTAAAGCGGCTAGTGAGTGCCACGGTGCCACGGAGCCATGGCAATACCTTATTTTTCTGGAAAAAAAAGATTTTGTATCCTTCATATGATACTTTGAAACATTTCTGTGAAAAATAAGGTAATGACATGGCTTCATGTACCTTAGTACTACCTGATGCGGTTGCCAGCGCTGATCTATTATAAAAGAAACTTTTCGTCTTTGATAAGATATTTCAATTTTTATGTTATGCTAAGCAATCATTTTTGATTTTTAACCTTTTTCTTTTGGCGGTTTCAAACATGTTATATTAAAATTATTTTAAAATTGAATTAAACTGTAATTTTCAAGGTTACTGAAGGTCATATCGTTTTGAAAATATTTTTTTTGAATTCCTTGACCTCAAATTATATAATAAAGTGTATAATCATGCTCAAGTAAATTAATTTTGAAATTGAGGAAATTCCCGTCCGCCATTTTGAAAAAAAATGCGAGATTGGGAGTCTTGAGGGTCGCAGAGCCTGGCTAGTCGGGTCAGATCTCTTAAAATGAGCTTCCTGACAATTATGCCAAATGCTTGTAACCCAATTTGGCATTTTCTTCCAAAATTTCGTACGAGGGAAATCCACTAGAAGTTGGTGCTCAATGATGAGGGCTTCCATGCTAGTTTTTTCGGCCACCCCTAAAACACTAATGTTCGATTATCTGGTATTGCCATTTTATCCTTCTTAGTCGTCGCTGGTGGTATTCTAGGCTTTTCATGTGTCTTCTGTAGGTGGTCCATATTTCGCCGCCATATTTTACGTGTTGGTATTACAACTGCATTGCGTCAATTGTTGTATTCGCTGACAAATGGCTCCCAATGTATGAGTAGTGGTCCACGTTTTGCAAATAATGGTTAGGTATTCATAGTTATATTTGAGGCTTCGGGTGTAATAAGTTGACCTCTAGGCCGATTCTCCTGTATGTCTGGTTGCATGTATTGATAATTGCTTCAAAATCATCCTTTGTATTGGCCAACACGACGTTATCATCCGCATGTTGAAGTTCAATTATCAATAACGCCGATGCTTTCCTCTTGACTCGTAATCTGTTTAGGTTAGAGAAGCCCCCAAGTCTGTACAGGATTTTTACTCCTGGCGGCAGGTGACCCTCGTATGTCACAAACGAGATTCTATTTACATCTCTCATCTGGCCTCCTGATGTAGAGCCAAAGGGGTTGCGTTGATGGTCCTCTAATAGCTGTTCAACCCCGAGACTCCTCGCTCTCAATTCAACCCTTTTTTAAACTTGGCAACATCGGAGTTTCCTCTTTATTGGCTCTGCCGAGAGAGCACAAGTGCACAAGTCCGTTAGAGAGTGACCAATAGCGATCTAAATCTTCATCTCTATCCACATACCCTCTCTATTTCTCGAAGAGTAGGACCTCCCCAGAGCCGTGCTCATCTTATGGATCTAGCTACCAATAAAGTTTATATCTATGGGCATAAACGCCTGACTAAAATTAAAAATAAACGAAACTGTGAAGTGAAACAAAGACAGTTCCTAAATTCAGTCTTTTCAATGCATAAATTGGATCAAAATTTAATCTCTAAGCTGCCACTCTGATCCAAGAATAGACTATTTCATCAATTCTTATCATGTCTATTATTTGCAATATTTCGTAAATTTAAGTTTGTAACTCGTCTTTTAGCTCAAAACCCCTATTCAAATAAATAAGTCATAAAAATATTAATTACGCGAAACATTATACACACATACCATGTTATTAAATTAATATAACATTATTACATGATTACGAAAAGGACTAGATTGCAAATAATATGGTGACACAATCTAGATTTAATATTAACTACCTAGTTTATGGTTCATTATGTAATTACTTTCTTTAAGTGACATGAAAACAAATAAATATCCACATTCTCTCTTCCAGATTTGGTTATTTAAGTCTCAGCATGAAAGTAGTGCCAAGAAACGATTCGGACTGGATTTTCCGCGAACCAACTATCGACATCTTCAACGACATCGGCCAATACTCCATCCAACCTGAGCGTTCTCCACGGAAACAACGAAGAGTCTTCGATGGAGACTTCCACATGGAATTCTGTGACACTTTGAAGCAACTAGTTCAAGCTTACTTCAGAGATTTCAATTTCGAGTCGCTAGACCAACCTTGGAGAGCCTTCACTTCCAGCTGGAGCCCTGAAACTCTGGCCAGAAATTTAGGGATTAATAGTTCGTTTGTGGCCAAAGACCATTGTTACGTTTTAGTTAGACTATCCAGGTTTCGTGAAAGTGCAAAGTTGGGAAGGACGCCCAGTGGTGATAATGTGGTGGATCTGGTTCAAGACGAAATAGCAAATATTGAAGTGGGAAATGTTTCTAGTGTTTTGATGTTTATTAAGAAATTTGGATCTCATTATATTCAGTCGTATGTGACTGGGAATTCGTTATATCAGGTAAGAATCAGAAGCTTATTGAATTGTTATGTATGGCCATAATATGTCCAAAAATGCATTAGCCTCTAGTTTTGGATCCTTCTTATATTATAGGTTTATTCAGTTTTTTATAACTGTAATTTAGTTAAATACCATAGGGATATTCCAAATAAGAAGTTCTAGAATATTATTGAACCTAGCTGTTTGATTTTTAAGTCAAGATATTTAATATATTTGTTAGGCTTTTGTGTTTCTAATGAGCTCATGAAGAATAAGTTGATAACGACTTTATTGATTATGTTAATGACCTGTTCCCAAATAAAATTTATATTCAATTTTTATCACTTCAAACACATGATAACCAGTACCGAATTGTCACCAAGTTCAAATATCAATTTATTCAAAATAAAGTTTCCTGTTATCAGTAACCTAACCAGCCGAGGCTGCAGCGTCTTTTGTAAACTGTTGTGATCCTTCAGTGTTTTGCCTTGGTTAAAACTACTTTTGTTTTTGGTTTGAAACTTGTAGCTTTATTAGGTAATGGAATATAGAATGAAATTGAACTACAGCAAAAGTAAGACTTATTTTAGAGAGAGTTTTAACAAAATGTGTTACTACGACTGAAGCTGTCTTAAGACTGTCTTCTTGCTTCACTAGATCTCTTACAAATCGACCTTTACATCCCTTCTAAAACGTTTCTAAAACCTACATAATTACAACTGGAAAACCCTAAATAAATATTGGCAATAAATGACAGTCTGTTCGCCCAAAGAATGACCATTAAGGATATTTGGGAATTTTGGGGTTTATGGTGGACAAATGTTTAATTTATTTACATACAATATCTTTGGGTTCTTTAACAGAAAGTCTGGGTCATATAATAATATTGCTTTCGGCGACGGCGAGACATTATTTGGGAATTTTGGGGTTTATGGTGGACAAATGTTTAATTTATTTACATACAATATCTTTGGGTTCTTTAACAGAAAGTCTGGGTCATATAATAGTATTGCTTTCGGCGACGGCGAGACATTATTTGGGAAAGTATTCGAGGGTCGTAAAAGGTACAATGTCATGATATTATGGAGGAATATGACAAAACCTTCAGCTTCTATATTCATACTATAGGGTTAAGGTATATCTCTTAGGGCGGGTTTTATAAAGCTATTTTGACACATAACTAAAATTTAACTTCTGGAATTGGAATTACTATGAGAAGTAACGTCATTCAGTTAACTGTTATTCTGTCAAAATAGTTTCATGATACCCGCCCTTATATGATTTTATCAAAAAATCCCCAGTTTTCTTCTTGATGTCTATGAGAATTAGCTATCAACTTTATTGGTTCATCAACTGCAACAATGTTATTTTTCGCCCAATTAAGTATTTCTTCAGCTTATTTTCTGGGGCAATTGAATTAGAATGAAAATCGGCTTGATTAAGTTTGATTCGAAATTGAATTTGAATGAAAATGCTCCATCCTGTTCTTTAATGAGATTTTTCTTAAAATAATTGTCTTTTTAAACATAAAAGTAATAATTACTATCACCAAGTTCAATTATTACAATCTGTTTAACATATTGATTTATTTTATAGTTATGTCATCATATAATAAAACAATGAACTGACAATTATGGCAAAGGAAAGTAAAAAGCCAGTAGTACTATATTAGGTGGAAAACAATAATTAAATCAATGTTATGGTTTCAATATTAATGTGCGAACTATTAGTCAGCGTTTTGCAATTATATCCTACTCGATATACTATGACCAGTGACCAGCTGGTAAAATAACATCGACTTTCATAAACTACACAAATTAAAATAAAATTTTAACGTCCAATTTCATATCATTAGTATCTTTATTACAATTTCGACTTCCTCTGTCATTTTTGGTTAATGCACCTGTACTTAAGTGCCCAAAGCAATCACCGAAATAACGCAACCAAACAATTTCTATTGTATGTTAATCTGTTGATTGTTGCAAAATATGTTAACTAAGTATTTTCAAGCAAAATGTCTTTTGGCGGATGTGGTACTTCCCTTTCAAACCGCACCTAGACAATATGGATCAGATAAAAGACGTTCGACCTTCGAACTCCTAGTGGCAATGAAAAGTTTGAAAGTCTTTTACCTTTTATTGTTCGGTCTACCTTTTGTTTGACCACTAACTTTACACTCCTATTTTAATGTATTTTTTACGATATTTCGATTAAGTTGAGTTCCTTATCTGTCCGGTACTGAAATATACAATTACATACTTCCGAGAGATTAACGTTGGGTTATTTTATGGTGACTAACTTGCTGCAGGAAGTTGTCTATCTCTAAATATATTCTAAGTATTTGAAGATAAGAATACTAAATTCTATTCACAGAGTGTTTGAGCTGAAAGTCACCAACAGAAATTTATTTCCTTTTTAACGGCAATTTTCTCTCGTATTTTTTTATTTAATTGGAATTGTGTTATTTTATTATTTTAATACGGATGTTTTTTTTTTTTGGCGCAAATACCCTAATCAGCTACTACATATTACCTATTCATCAAATAGTCTTTTCTACTTTGCTACAAAAAGTACCACTGTTTATGCGATCCCTCAAACGTCAAAGCTATACAGTAAGGGGCAGGCTACTAGGTATATAGGATCCAACTTGACGAATTTACCACCGTCCGCAGCCGTTTGAACCCCTGTCACTGTCGTTCGTTCAACAACTTTGACGTTTGTTTACTTCAGTACGATTTAGATACAGACTTAAGCACGGTTCAGACGCTACGGTTCAGCTTACTGATCAAAACGTTTTGTCTGCAACGTGTTTAACCTTAGAGCAGGTAATTTCCTAGGTGGGAGGAATAGGAACATAAAGTTGGAATTTGAAGCCGTATTTTTCCAGGTATTTTGAAATCCAAAATAATGGCGGTATAAGCAATTCCTTAGAGCAGGTAAAGGTAAAGGAGTAGTAACCTGGATTTGGAAAATGAAGCCGTTTTTTTCCAGGTATCTTGGCCCACAAAAAATGGCGGTTATGGCAATTCAATGCTCTACCTGTATTTTGGTGCCAAACACCTGCCAAAAACTTGGCTTCACTTTAGTTTCATAAGCAGAATGGCGCGTTTCTACTCCTTATGTCCGTAGGACAGCGCTTTACCTGCTCTAATGGCAATTCAATGCTTTACCTGTCATTTCGTGTACAAACACCTGCCAAAAACTGGCTTCACTTTAGTGTCATAGCAGAATGGCGCGTTCCTACTCCTTATGTCCGTAGGACAGCGCTTTACATGCTCTAAGTGTTTAACTGTATGCAGACAAAACGTAGCGTCTGCGCCATGCTTTCAGATATTATTAAGTTTACGCGTGCAGATAGCTAAGCGTTGGTTATCAATGTAGACACTAGACACTTTAAGCAAACCCTAAATATTCCTACGTATCCGTATCCGCTTCTGTGAACGCATCGACTTACGTTGACCGCCTAAAAGTCCTTTCATGGTCATACATTACGTAAACGATCGTATGATGACACGTTTTCTAACCACAAAAAGTTTTGTTTTGATTTTGTAGCTGTGTTTGTAGGTTTTCTTTTTTCCATAAGTACTGTGTTTATGTTCTTGAAGTTATTTTAGTAATAACTGACAGGTAGATCCCTCAATAGTGTCAAATGATTGAGATACGTTTTCGGATACAGATACGAGGCTAGGCCCGTAACGATACGGACAACGTAACGCAACGAGACCACCGTATTTACTATCTATCCTGCGTTAGATACCTACGTTTGAAATTCAGGACCTGCTTAAAGTGTCTACTTGCTTATCCTGAATTTTTATATGTATCCGTCTCCGCATCGATCTGCGCACGCGCAGAATAGATACGGTGGTTTCGTAGTCCGCATAGTTACGGGCCTAGTCTCGTATCCGAAAACGTATCTCAGCCATGGTGTCTTTAGCCTTAGTTTTTTGAGTGACAAGTCTTTTCACGTTTTGTTTTTACCTAGTTGTCATGAGTTAAGGGTCATTCACATCCACTTAACTTAACTTAAGGTACGGAAAATTATAACTAACGTACGAAACTGAGAAGGTGTCTGTTAACAATGAAGTAAATTATCTTACATGACGTATGCGCACTTATAACCTGAACTGTCAAGTCAAATTATATGCACAGAAATGGAAATTATTATTTATTGCACGGATTTTCTTAAGTTGGTTTAACTTTTCGTGTGTCACGTTAATTTTCTTAATTTTTAAGTGGATGTAACAACTATGTGATCTTCAAATTTTTTTTATTATTAATTTTCCGTACGTCAAGTTAAGTTAAGTGGATGTAAATGACCCTTTAGCACTAAATATATTTGTCATTTTGCCACATGCGGACGCCTGCAAATTCGTCAAGTTATATCCTATATACCTAGTAGCCTGCCCCTCACTGTATAGGTTGAACTGTGGCTCTGATAAGCTTAAATGGCTCTATATTTTTATACGCTTGTAGTCCGGCCGCCTTATGAGAAAATGGGCTTGGACCTTGAGTTAAGGTAAAAAAGATGATAAAACTAATATTCTATGATTGATTTTAGTACTATTTTATATACTGAACTGAAATAATATGAGAGGTGCCAGAGTGGCACTTTTGGGCGACTTAAAATATTGAAGGTCAAAGTTCACGGGGTCCAAAAAACAGAACTCACCCATTTTATTACGAATGTAATGGAGTCGGTCAACCAAAATTAAAATCCAAGTTCACCTTGATAAAATAAATTTTAAAAAAAGACACTAAAAATTGAGATTGCGATAAAGTTTTTATTGCATTATAAAGTATGGTTATTGCCATTATATGTGAATTATAATGTCACTTAAATATCCTCCACGGGACTCCTGCAGGAATCAATCCTGTTGAGGTAATTTTGGCAAATTTTTGGCACATTTCAGGCATATCGCGGTCATGACTTGACAAATATTATCTTTCAACGCCTCAATCATTAGAAGGTTGTTGGCATGAACATTATCTTTCACATATCCTCACAAGAAGTTCAACGGTGT